TCAGCGTAATACGACACCTACCTAAAATAAAAGTCGATTTACAGATTATATTTAATATTGACGTAATAATATTTTTAAAAAATGTACCTACATAAATATATTTATATCAATAGTTGACTCCTTTGTATGTGCACTTATGAATTTAAGTATGGAGTTTACAGTGTCTTACTGTCTTATGATATAAAAAGATATAACATAAACTGGATAATACATTCCTGATGTGCTTTTACAAATTAAAAGCGGAAATGTAAGTTTTGTTATGAAAATAAATTGAAGAACGTGTTGAAAATATTGTCATTTCATATTCGTTATAGCTATTCTATAACTCAATAAAGTGATCTGACAATATGTATTAGGCATGACTGTAATAGGATGTATTAATTAAACTACTGATTGATATACTGAAAGTATCACAAAAGTGACATTTGTGCATGTTTCATATACACTAGTGCAACTACCTTGTGATCACGTATCAGTGTTAAGATGCATAATATATATAGAAACCTTGTCATACAATTCCGACAGATCGGCACAAGCGATATGTTGTTGAAAATCAGCAAGGACGCATAATCACCAAGCTTACATTTGTGCATTAATAATATAATCTAACATATTAATATGGTTTGTCGTTTATAAAAATCTATAATCATACAAGTATAATAATAACTTAAGTAGGTATAATTTGATTTATGTTTAACTTGAAAATACAATATAAGATGTAATTTTTGTCAAAATGTCAACAAAAAGCTAAAAAGGTAAACACTTCTGTGTGATTATCATAATTCAATTTTTACTTAAAACAAAAGTATTATAGAATTGATTCTTATCGAAATTATCGCTTATAATGGTTGGTAACCAATTCGCGGTATACAAACAGCTGCATTAATGTTTTTCCCGTGCTAAAAATCATTTATAATGCGAAAACTAAGAAGGACATATTATAATATGACATTTTTTGATTGAATTAAATAAAAACTTATTTATTACATGTGTGTCCTTAATCACGCCACTGAAAAACTTTGCGTGCTGAATGAAGAATTGAGCACCTATATATGCATTAAAATTGGAACCTATTGTGTTTTGATACAAAAAAGACGATTGTTATATAATTGATAGACATCTTACAAGTATGACTATTAGAAAAAAAATCACCAAAGAAAACAAACTAATTTAAATTTTATCAGTTTTAACAATCAACTAAATTCTTTAATTTTATATTATATAAAACCGGTATTATTAGATAATAGTTTGTATTAAATGKTAGACATTGGTAATATTTTAGGTATACAGACATTATATTATTATTATGTCGGTCATGTGCTAAAGACTGAAGTGTATATAATGATAACAAAAACATTATGTTTAAAAATCTTTATAATTGCATACCTTTTAAATTTTTTTATTAATTACAATTATGTATTCAACACAAACACGCAATTTTATAAACAATTTATTTATTAAATTTACACGTACTTAGTTGCACTCATAATTATAGAAAATTATATTTAATTTAAATATAATTGTTGTTACTTTATTAGGTATATAACAAAATACATCGTTAACCATTTTATAAAAAATTTTCTGATATAATAGCAATTATACATATAACCAAGTATAATAGTACTATTCTAAATTGTTTAAAATATCGTTACTTTACTGTGTTCATCTGGGTATGTTTGATATTTTAAAATAACACATTTGTGTAATCTGTTTTAGAGATGTACAGCAATAAAATCACAGAAAAAAATTATTATTGACAACAAGACATTTATACAAGAATGTTTAGATGCACACAATCAATACCGAAAAAAACACATGGTTCCTCCTTTGATCCTGAGTAAGAAAGTTAGTATCCATTCAAATACATGAGTATCGACTACTATATTGAATACAACAATATATTGTGTAAAAATTTCAGTAGACACCTACACAAATATGTGATTATATTATTCAACTTAGTTATTCTTATTTTATCATATGCAATGTCGAAACTGAAAGGAATTTATGAAAATACTTTCTTAGCCAAATTAATTTTTCCATACCTACAACATATAGTTTGCTTTTCTTCTTTCCGCGTAGTAATATTGGTGTTGAACTTCGTAATAGAAATATTTTGGATACATTACTCGTGTCTCGTTGACACGACAACAATGCATCCACTCGTCTTGTATGACGAAGGCCATTAAAACGGCCATCGTATAGTAGATGGGGTTTCCGAAGTTAAGTACAAACTACCTCTATAGTAGGGGGAAACAAAATCACATAATAATAAAACGTGACAACTGTGCTTTCACTTCGTGGTCAGCAGACAAAATATAAAAAAAATATTAAATGTTAAATAATATTCCTTGTTTCTCTTGTTACTTCTTTATTATCACGTGCAATTATTATTAAAACATGATTGACGTACCTATGTAAAAAAAAAAAAAAAAATGAAAAACGTAGGTAATCGTTTTAATGCTATGAGTGAATGGAAAATCAACATTCGCATTTACTAGTTCATCTAATTTACATTACTCTACAAGTCTACAATATGTATAGAATATGTTTTTATATTTTCTTTATACTTCTATCTCAGCTTTAAATAATTAATTTTCGAATTGCGTTTTTTAATTCCTTTAGTTTATGTTTGAAGTTTGAATGAAGACTGAAGTGTATATTATATACCGCTATATGTTTTCATATTATTTTCGTAATATTTTGATTGCTCATTATATAACCGTTATGTTTACCAAACGTAAACTCTGTTTGTTTTTACAGGTTACAAAAAATTACATAAGTTGTTTTTATACCTATAGAATAGAACAATAGTTTATTCATTAAAAAACATAAACTATTGTAAGTCATAATAATTGCGTTTTATTTTGTATTAAATTGGAAATATTGATTTATTATTTATTACACACAAATCCGYGGGATCAATTGATCATTTTTTTGGTAATTGGCAAATCGATTTTCTTATTGGATAAAAAAATATATATATATTATTTATGTCTTCTTAAAGTTTAGTTTATTTTTTTTTTTAAATCTATTAGATTTTATTGAATCACAAAATGTTTTTAAATAATATACATACCACTGGGAATATTGTTATATTAATAGATACATTTATAATAACCACTTGGTACATACATATTGGATGGCACTTTTATTTTTGTCGACTCCATCACAATGATGAACATATTTATTTAACTTTGAAAATCTGTATTTGCATGCAGCTTTGTAAATATGCAGAAGAATGGGCGAATTATTTGAGCGTCAAAGGTCTATTAGAGCACAGACCATCGTCGTCGTATGGTGAGAACTTGTTTTGCTCTTGGACGTCGCTGCCCAACCACAGGATCGAAGGGAGGGAACCAGTGGACAGTTGGTACGAAGAAATCAAATTTCACCCTTTCGGCCGCGAACCCACTACCCTGAAATCAGGTAATTTACACGATCGCGTGAATTTGTATAWCCGTTAATAAAAAACACGTATATTATTATATTATGTCTCATGTCAAAAGTACATAATATTTTATATTATAAACAGTTGATCCTGTTCGGCGTTTCGCGTAATTAAATAATCCTAGTGAATTTACCATGCCTTGAACTCCATTAAATATAAACTACATATGTTTTAAACGCAATTATTTCCCATTTGGGTGGTTTTGACCACACAGGTCAATAATTTATTATTTAGGTAACTATTACACCAAAAACTTATAATAACTAACTGATCCTGTGCAATTCGACACCTTATGTAATTTGTTTGCCTTAAAAATATCAACTCTATATTACGAGTATAATTCAAATTTTGTTTAATCCGTTATTTAATATTCGGTGTAATGGTGTTCAAGACATAGGTCCAAATGTTCTATTATTTCTATTATAATCTGAAACCTGCAATGATAGTTAATATTTATGAAAAAAATTTAATTTCTATCTTGAATCTCAAGATCCCTGTTTGACCACCTTTTTCACATGGGAATATCGGAAAATCCTTTCTTATTGCAAACCTAGATCATTTGATAAGGCTGCAATATTCCAAATAAATTACAAGTTTGTGTATTTTATAGTTTTTGAGATGTACCGATGAATGAGTGAGTGATATTTAACTGATATATTGATATATACATAGATGTTATTTCATATAATAACCAATGGCAGCCCTRTACAAACAAACAAATATTCGTTTTTCGTAACCCATCATGAATCCCTGCAGTGTGACTAGTGTGAGCCAAACTTACAAAATTAAATAAAAGGCGGGTAAGTCGTGGATGTCGCTCTGCTGTACAGTAGGTTACAAGTGGGTCCATTACGAATGAAATTAAATTTGAACCAATGATATTATATCATTGTATACGAAAAACGATTCTGAGCGAAGACGGTTTATCGGTCTTGGATATATTATAGATTATGAAAAATTTTCAAATCTTAGATTTCAAATAAAATTTTTTTATGAATTTCTAGCATAAAATAATTTGAACATTGCCRTAATTTTTACGTATTTAGTCAAAATTCAAACTTTGAATGCTTGTAAAAAAAAATTGTGACTACGCATTTCTTTTATTTTTCAATTGCTATTGTAAAAATATGATAGGAGCCATG